GCATCCTGGCCTGTATCAGGAACAGCGTGGGGAGTAGGACTTGGGAGGTGATGGTCCCCCTGTGCTGGGCACTGGGGAGGCCCCACCTTGAGGGCTGTGTCCAGTTTTGGGTCCCTCACCACAAAAAAGACATTGAGGTGCTGGAGCGGGTCCAGAGGAGGGCAACGGAGCTGGTGAGGGGTCTGAAGAACAAGTCTTGTGAGGAGAGGCTGAGGGAGCTGGGGGTGTTCAGCCTGGAGAAAAGGAGGCTGAGGGGAGACCTTCTCGCTCTCTCCAACTCCCTGAAAGGAGGGTGTAGCCAGGGGGGGTCGGTCTCTTCTCCCAAGGAACAGGTGACAGGACAAGAGGAAATGGCCTCAAGTTGTGCCAGGGGAGGTTCAGGTTGAATATTAGGAAAAATTTTTAGACAGAAAGGGTTATCAAGCCTTGGAATGGGCTGCCCAGGGAAGGGGTTGAGGCCCCATCCCTGGAGGTGTTCAGAAGACGGGTTGACATAGTGCTGGGGGACATAGCTTAGTGACGGGTTGGGTTTTTTTTTGTCAGTTAGGTTGATGGTTGGACTAGATGATCTTGAAGGTCCCTTCCAACCTAGATGATTTTATGATTCTGTGTTTGTATAACTGTTTTACTTTTGGAATAAGGTTTGAATTTTATCTTGCCTTAGTCTTCTGATATTATTCCAATTTCTTCTGCCTACTGATTCCAGATCATGAAGAGCGAAGTACTGAGGGTGACCCATGAGCTTCAGGCCATGAAAGACAAGATCAAAGAGAACAGCGAGAAGATCAAAGTGAACAAAACCCTGCCATACCTCGTCTCTAACGTTATTGAGGTGAGGGCAGCACGCTCTTCTGCGGCAGCGTGAGAGATGCAACATAAATTGGGAAGGAGAAGGGATGGGGAACTCGTCAGTGACTGGAGACACCGCATGTTCTCAAACTACTGATGGCCCTGGAGCCAGGAGCTGTAGGTTTTGTGTGTGACCTGGACGTGCACACCACTTGCCCGCTTTTTGTCTGGGTCGTTCCTTAGGTGTTGGGTGCTCCTTACCTGCACGTGACACGGTCAGCAGAGGCTGACACAGCCTGGCTTGGTGTAGGCTTGGGTGTGTGAAATTTGGTACGTGCTTTCTGAAACTTGTGACACAGCGAATGAAAAGCGGCAGCTCTTGTTACTGCACCCCATTCGTTTTGTAATTCAGTAATTTTGCTGATAGGCAAAAAAAAATAATAATCTGATAGTTTTCTATTTTAAAAAGGGGGTTGGTTTGTACAAGTGTTTTAAAACTTAATGAATTTAGGGCTTAATGTGAGCTGCTGTAATGGGAAGATAAATCGGTGCATTAGCTATTGCTTTGTTCTGAACCTTATGGTGTCTTTCTGTGCGCTGTCGTGTGCTGCTTCACGAGGAAGAAATGAATTTTTATAGGAAGGCTTTAATGCTTTCGGGATCCTGGATGATGGGAAGTTTTATTTCTCGTACTGCACGTAATGTAGAAGTGCTAATCCTGGGGTCATCCTGCTGGCCTGGTCCTGTTGGCGTGAAATGTCTCACTCTGGTTTTCAGCTGCTGGATGTTGACCCCAATGACCAGGAGGAGGATGGAGCAAACATTGACCTGGATTCCCAGAGGAAGGGCAAGTGTGCTGTCATCAAGACCTCTACGCGCCAGGTGAGAGCCGTGTGCCCCGCGAGGTACGGTTTAGTGATGATGCTCCTTGTTTGTTGTGTGGGTGTCTATTTTTGTCAGTTAGGTTGACGGTTGGACAAGATGATCTTTAAGGTCCCTTCCAACCTAGAAGATTCTGTGATTCTGTGAGGTGTGAGGAGCTCTGGGCAGGAGCTCCTCCTCGCACGGCTGGCTTGGCTTACTGGGATTTCTTTCCCACAGACATATTTCCTGCCTGTTATTGGGTTGGTTGATGCCGAGAAGTTGAAGCCTGGAGACCTAGTGGTGAGTCATGCTGTTGTGACTGTTAGAGATGATGCTGGCCAGAAAACTACATATAATGTCCTGTATGTATGTCCCTTCAGAAAGGAAACAAATCTGTCCAGATTACTCCAAGACCATTTCTGTACCTAAACTTTAATAAAAAGATATTAGGGATTCAGTCACATTTGTTTTATAGAATAGTAGTTTGGGTGTGTGTTATTTACACATACAATTGGGTGCTAGAAGTTTAGGTGTCACCTAGAAAGCTTTCCAAAACCAGTCTTTTGTAGCCTAAGTAAATTGGATCCTTCTTTTGAAAAACATGCTGGATTATCTGTCCACATCCTCCTCTGTGCTGAGCTGTGGTGACTTGATGAGCACCAGCGTCAGAGCTGCTTATTCCTGCCTCCTTGCGGTCCAGTGAATCATCTTTGATTGTGTATTTATTAATTGCTGTCTGAAGGGCCTGTTAAAAGCGAAGGACTTACCTTTGCAGGGGGTGAACAAAGACTCTTACTTGATCCTGGAGACTCTGCCGACTGAATACGACTCACGGGTGAAAGCCATGGAGGTGGATGAGAGACCCACAGAGCAGTACAGTGACATCGGGGGCCTGGATAAACAAATCCAGGAGGTGATGCTTTGTGTGTACTTTCTGGTGTGACTGAGGACAACAGTCTTTGAGCTTCAGCTCTGAACTTCAGCTCAAAGCAGGCAGCCTGGGTCCGCGGAGGAGACTGGATTTATGTAGTAATATTTTTCTTTTGCTGTAGCTCGTGGAGGCCATCGTTCTGCCCATGAATCATAAGGAGAAATTTGAAAACCTGGGTATCCAGCCACCCAAAGGAGTCCTTATGTACGGGCCTCCAGGAACAGGGAAGACACTTTTAGCTCGAGCATGTGCTGCCCAGACCAAGGTAAGAGGAACCTTTGAAAGCATGTGCTGCTGTAGAACAGTACCTGAAAAAGCAGGGGAGAGGGGTCATACATGCAAACTGGTGTTTAAAAGGCTGGGATTTTCTTGTCTGTTTGCTTGGTTGGTTGTTTTAATTAAGGGCTTTTTGTAGTACTCAGAACTGACCCTATTGAGAAATGAGGCATGGGATTCTCTTCCACTTCTCAGGCCACGTTCCTGAAGCTTGCTGGTCCACAGCTGGTGCAGATGTTCATTGGCGATGGAGCGAAGCTCGTACGCGATGCTTTCGCTCTAGCCAAGGAGAAAGCTCCTTCCATCATCTTTATTGATGAACTGGATGCCATTGGCACTAAAAGGTGAGGTGTGGGGCCATGTCATAAAGCTGCCCAGCAGCCCCTTTGCCTGTGTGTGTGCGGGAAGCCAAGCGTAAAGCACGGCTCATTCAGAAACAGAGTGTAAAGCCAATCACAGGTGGCAGTTGCCACGATCCTTGGGCTCATGAGTGAGGTTTATGAGACCTGGAGTCTGTCTGATGGTCTCCTGCTGTATTAAACAGGAAAACGGGGAGGGAAGGGAGGGAGCATAAAGCCAATCACAGGTGGCAGTTGCCGCAATCCTTGGGCTCATGAGTGAAGTTTATGAGACCTGGAGTCTGCCTGATGGTCTGATAGTTTTCCCCTTGTTTCCTCCTCAGGTTTGACAGTGAGAAGGCTGGTGATCGGGAGGTGCAGAGGACCATGCTAGAGCTGCTTAATCAGCTTGATGGTTTCCAGCCCAACACACAAGTCAAGGTTGGGATCTAGCAGACAGTGCTGCTGAGGTCAGGGGCGCCCTGGCAGGGGAAGGAGAACAGTATCTAGGGAAGAAGCTTGGTGGATCCTTGGGGAGGAGAGGCCTGTCTTCCAGCTGCCTCAGTCTGGTGACCCTACTTCTTTTTAGGTGATTGCTGCAACCAACCGGGTTGATATCTTGGACCCTGCTTTGCTCCGCTCTGGACGATTAGATCGCAAGATTGAGTTCCCGATGCCTAACGAGGAGGCCAGAGCCAGAATTATGCAGATTCATTCACGCAAAATGAATGTCAGGTATGGAAGAGGCATGGCCTTCTGGGGCTATGTTTATCACTCGTGGTGGTGCCTCAGGGCTGTGGAGTGGTAGACGCTCTCTTTTGGTGAGAGCTCATTGGGTTTTAAGGAAGCTCTATACCTTGCTTTTTCTATTTGGTGCATGGTCTCAGATTTTTTTCTTCCCCCCCCCCCTCTCTTTTTTTTTTTCCCCCCCCCCCCCCCCCCCCCGCCCCCATCAGCCCCGATGTGAACTACGAGGAGCTGGCTCGCTGCACAGATGACTTCAACGGAGCCCAGTGCAAGGCTGTGTGCGTCGAAGCGGTAAGTGTCCCTCTGCAGCAGCCAGCGCTGCCAGCAGGGAATGGGGGAGGTGATGTGGTGCTCGTGTGCCTGCTCTAAATACTGTGTCGTTGGGCAGGGGATGATTGCCCTCCGTCGTGGAGCTACAGAGCTCACCCACGAGGACTACATGGAGGGAATCTTGGAGGTTCAAGCAAAGAAAAAAGCCAACCTGCAGTACTATGCCTGATCTCTGCCCAGTCAAGGTTGTGGCCTTGGCAGAGGACAGGACTAGACTGGACTGTACCACTTCCTTTGTGTCTGGAAAAAATAAAGTGTTTTTTCCCTCTAAAAACCAAATACGTGATGTGTTGGGGCTGTCACCCTTGCTCGGAGGTTCTACATCTGCAAAAGGAAAGGTGAGTCCCTCCTGTCCTCAGTGCCCATCAGAGTCTCCTCCTGCTAGAACTGGATTAAATCCTGCTCTGCTACTTCTGGATGGGGACCAGCAGGTTGTACTGCAGGAATTGTGCTTCGAAATTGAGGTGCTGCAGCTCAGACAGCGTCCCCCCTTTTTAACCTGTGCAGGCAGTGAACAGCTGGTAACAGCTGTGCCAGAGTCTTTGAAACTGTTGAACTAACACTCATTTTGCAAGGGAGAAGTGAACATGAATGATGTTTTGTCATTTAAACTTAACCTTGGAAGCTGTAGCACCATTGCTGACAGGTAGGTGAGCTCTCTGGGGAATCAGTCTGGTAATTAGAAAGAATTCAAGGTTTCATCCACTGAGCAAGTCGTTCAGTACTTTTAATGCCAGTTGAGAATTACAACTTCCATTTAAAAATTACACTTTTCATAAATACACTGACTTTAGCATTAAGTATCTTACATGCCACTGTATTGTATTTTAAATACAATGTAAACATCTCCAAATGCTGGCCATCTCATCTTTACCTGTGCAGTTTTTGGACACTTGGGAGAGGGGCGGGGAATGTGAGGGAAGAAAGAATAGATGAATGAAAGAAAAATGCACCCCAAAGTACTTTGGCTGATGTTCCTGAGTTAGCCCGAGTACTTGTGCTGGTTCCAAGGTCGTTGCTGCTCGTTCTGGAGAGGGTGGAGCTTGTTCCAGCGGATCATCCGTGTTCTAGACACGCTGCGCTCCGGGGGCATTGGACATTAGAAAGGGGGGGGGGGGGGGGGAAGTGAGCAGAAGCCACGCATTCCTGAGGAAAATACATTGCGGTTCCTTTGGACATTAATATTGGGGGGGGGGCTGTACATCTGCTATTTTAGCAGTACTGCTGTTTGAGCTTGGGGAGAGTTACCTCCTGTCACAGAACAGGAGTTGCACCCCCAAGTTAGTTGGGGGGGTAAAAGTTGATCCCGGCAGCTCAAACTGTGACATATATTTTCAGAAATATACCCTGGCCTCTAGTGGAATAGTTAGAAGCTGCACTTTGCATACATCTCCCCGTTAAAACAAGGGTATGTTCATTAGCCAAATGAGTAACCTTACTGCGTAAGAAGCTGAGGAAAACTCCCCTCCTTTCCTAAAGCCAGTAAGGGGTTTTTTTTAGAGTCTTGCTGCTCAGTTACAGCTGGCTCCTTTTGGAAACATTAGTAGTGAGTAAATAGCTGATACCACAGCATGAAATAGCAGATTTCTGATTTAAATAAATTAATACTAACAATGGGCTAATTCTTTGGCCTAAACCTCGGCTTAGATCAAGGTTCTTTTGGGAACTGATGGCCTGAGCCAACATGAGACACGCCTGTTGCAAAAGTGTTCAAGCCAACTTCACGTAGCTCCTTGCCCTGATTTGGGTCTGACTTACCCAGACCTGCAGCAATAGAGTTGGTGCGTAAACATCCCTTACAACTGGACAATAACAGGACCATGGAGGTACAGTTCAAAAAACAGCACAAAAAAAGACACAGCCTTGGACTTAATCCCTTGTAAACAGAAGAAAAACAAATCAAAAGAACTGTCCCCCCTTAAACCATCAATGAGCAAAATCGCCAATAATTCAAACCTGGAGTCACTTGCAATGTCTGTGTCCGCGACTGGAGGCTGCCGCAGCGTCCCACAGCCCGGTGGTTCCGCAGCCGTGGTGCTGCTCCCCACACGCCGACACGCCGCCTCTTCCCGGTGTTACCCCCCGGCTCTGCCCAGGCTGCGCTGCCCAGAGTCTCTCCTCGCGCCCGCCGAGGTCACACGGCCCCGTTCTCTTGTCTGGGTTTTTGTACGGAGGCCCGAGACGTGTTGAGTGAGGGGGCCAAGGTGCAGAGGAACCCAGCCAGCAGGGTGAGGCCCAGGCCCCCCCAGGCACAGAACATGGACCAGCCATAGCCATGACTGATGTCCTCTGGCAGCCCATAGACGTAGCGAGGATAGCGGGACAGCTCAAAATTGATCCCAGCTACGCATGTGCAGAGGGAGATGATACAGCACGTACCTGCAGGAGAAAAGCAAGAGGGTTCTACACTGCCCTCAGAAAGGTTAATTATACACTGCGGGTGTTTTTTTTTCCACCCCAGGTGTTTTCAAAGCCATGAATTTTCAAAATCAAGAATTACCATCCTCCCCCTTCCCCCTCCCCTTTTTTTTTTCTGTAATCCTACCAGTCACTCTTACATGGCAGGGGAGAAAAATAAGGCAAAATACATAGGATTACAGGTTAAATCACTTCACAAATAACCAATATTGCTTCAGCTCCCTCTGATGCTATTTTGAACACAGTCATATATAACTTATCACGCTTCAAGTCTCCCAAGTCTTTATTTATTTCCAAAGACTAAGGTCAGCAGACTGGGGACAGCACTTGGGCAGTCTCTCCTACAGAAGGTAAATAGCTGCAGTTGCTATTAGGGACACCCAGATTCCTGCCACCTGGAGCTTATCCCCATGGGACATGGCCAGGTTTGTGTCATCTGCTGCACATTCAACGCACACCTATAGAGAGGAGCAAAAAAACCTGAAGAAACTTACACAAGTCACTCCAGTGTGTCTACTCTACATTAGGACACTAGACTCAAAGCTGAGGTGATAATTTTATTCTCTCCAGCTCTGGATCCGTGTCTAAATACGAATGGCAGCTCTAACAGCTGACGCCATGCCCATCACTGTAAGTGCAGAAGCACTCAAAGGGGACCCAGTTGACCCGTTCCACGTCTTACAATGCTCTACTCTGTCACTGCTGAGCGATAAAGAAATGAACCTGTTCCCAAAGGAAGCTGCAGTTAAGCAGCACATAAGATGGCCAAGGCCAGCACAAGCCTAACTCCCAGCCTTTCTGGCATCACGCAGTGTAAGCAGTACTTGTTTGTGCATCTCCCCAAAAATACTCCTTGAGAAGGCTCGCTTCTAGGCGAGCAGCTCTGGCTTTTAAGTAGCACCTCATTTTTCATACTTGAAAGTTGCCTCTTTACTGCTTGCAATTCAAGAGAACACACACACACACCCACACCCACCCACACCCACACACACCCCCCCCCAAGACCTCCTCCTCCCATCCTTGTAGCATCTCAGTAGCCCACCTTTTTGGTGGATTTGTTGTTACTTTCAAATAAAGATGAAATACTGCCTGAAAAAGAGCTAAAAAAAAAATATCAAAGTTCAGAGAAACCTTTGGCCTTGCAGAAAGACTGCTCCCAGGCAGGAAGAACAGATGTAACACCCCCGGCAAGCACTGAGCTCATGTCCTTACCCCTGGGCTGATGTTCTCCAGGCTGGGCTGAGGTCGGACTTCATTGTTACCCAAACACGTAAGCGTCTTTGAGCAGCAGAAAGGTGCTCTATGTTGGTTTGTTTGTTAAGATTCCTTGGGGCAAACTGAGCTGAGCTGTCTGACACACACCCGGAGCAGGCACAAAGACTGCTCCTCGTGGAGCTACGCACCGGCTCTCCCGAGTGGAAGGCTCATGTACATACCACAGGGTCTACTCAGAAAGCTGCAAATGGCCCTGCAAGCACAGGTCCTACCCAGTGCTGGGCACGGTAACTCTGCTGTTTGCTCTGGGCTGACTTGACTTTTAAGAGCACCTCCCCAGGCAGCACTAGTGACCATGGTGACTTCAGGAGAAGCAAAAAGCTCTCACCTCCCATTAGGAAGAGCAGCCCAGCCACATACTGCATGAGCTCCTGCTGTTTGCAGCAGCCCAGCACACCAATGATCCACCCAAACAGGATGATGGAGACTGCCATGCCAATGAAGCCAGCTGTCATCCTCCGCAGATCTGAGGAAAGAGAAAGGAGAAAGGCAAGAAAGAAGACATGAAGATGGTGGCACCCAGACAAGACAGCCAAGGGAGAGCCCAGACAGATTTAGATTTGCTGGTTCTAAAGTTCACACTTCACCCATGAACTACTCCTCCTGAAGCTTCTCCGAGGTAGACAGTTTGCCCATTACACCCAGCTAACTTGACTCCCCTTTGCTGGGCACTGTACAACTAGAGAGCATTTCTGCCCTGATCAAGAGGAACACTGCCCAAATACTCCCCAACGTGGGACAGGAGGAGTGCATTATGAACTCAGCAACGATTTGTAAATGTTAGTACTGCAAGGGTTTGTTGTTGTTGGGGTTTCTTTGGGATGGAATTTGTTGGGTGAGTGCTGAAAATAGAAAGAAAATTAGTGAGGGCACACTGAAGAGAAGGAAAGGAGTACTGCATGGAAGGCAGCTTCTGAAAAGAAGAACAGGAGGACGACAGAAGCAGACAGCAGATCAATACAGTATGATGGGAACAACTCCAGGAACAAGCTCAGGGAAAAAAGAAAAAAAAAGCTTGGGCACCAGTGATATGAACAGCACTTTGTCATCCATGATACAAGTGCTGTTCTCGTCTCCTCCCAGTTCCATCTCTAGCTGGATTTCCTCAGCACTGAGGCTCACATGCCAAGGGTTAGGCAGAATTATGTGAGGCAAGAGAACCAGAAACAAACACAAAGAGAAGCAGGAGCAGAAAAAACTGATTAAATCATTCTCTGCGACAGGCGTCTGGTCAGTCACCTGTGTGGGAAGGACTTGGGCATGAGGCAGCTTGTAGGCCAGGAGCTGGTAACAGGAGGTTGCAAAGACCAACTGAGCTGTTCCCTTAAAGAGCTGGTTCCAGGGTCACTGGTGTGCACAGGAAAATGCAACGAGATCTATACAGACTATACAGCAATGCAGCACCTTTGCTGGAATTGTCTGTCTCTTTGCTAGGAATTGTCTGTCCCCAAACCCAGAATATGATTACACCTCACAACACACATGCCTGTATTCAGGAATTCAGTGCTTAAGCCCCTCCAAACCTCACATCCCCTTCCAGTTACACTCTCAGCTGCTTGCCCTTCCTCACTACCAAATACGTATTTATGCTTGGAGCCCGGGGAGGGCCAGCTGAGGTAGAGCCCTCACGTGGCCTTGCAGCGAAGCATTCAGTACATTCAGTAACCCCAACAGTCCTGTCTGCTGTTGGCTACTTACGGAGCGCGTGCCACTCGTCCTGCCGGATGGTGTTGGTGATGTTGATGGGTAAGTTGCGAGGCAGCGAGCTGGAGGTGTAGTGGTACTTCACTGCAGTGCAGCGCTGAATAACCCCTGTGAAAAAACAGAGACATCAGTGTGAAACAGCAGGAAACCCCTGTGCCCTGCACTTTCTGCTGAGTTGCCTGGCCCAGCAGAGCTACCCAGGGGAAGGCTTAGTTCAGTAACAGAGCAAACACAACCAAAAAAGAGCTGTTTCCTTCAAAGGCTTTGGGGATTAGGAAGAGAGAGCCTTGCTACAAAGAAACACCGGCCAAGAGGGAGCAAGGTGCTGACCCAGGCAGGCTCCAGGAAGGCACAGCTAGAGGTAAACAGGACCAAAAGTCAGCAAAACCAGCTCCAGAAGGTTCCTAGAGGAACAGGTATGATAGCTCTGGGATGGCTTAGGAGACAAGAATGTGGTTGAGTACCAACAGGACTGCTTTGTCTCTAAGAAAAATTTGAATGAATGCTGGTAAGTGAACTGCATGGGAGAAGAGTTTGAATTCACTCCATTGGCTCTTTGCTTTCCTTTTACTAAACAGTAGTACCCACATAGGCTTGTTTCCGTTATAGTTTAAATTAAAGTGTACCCCAGAAACAAATGCGAACCTAGATGCATGCTCTTCTTGAATGGGATTTTTAGTTTAGAAATCATCCAGTAATAGAGAAGCTACTAGGGGGTGAAGAGAGAGGAAGGTGCCTTGCCCTCCCTGTTATAAGTAAAACTGAGGGCGGGGGAGAATAAATGTGGGTGGTGGGGTGGAAGAGAATAGCCAGAAAGGTAAAAGAGCTAAGTAAGTACAAAAGGTTCCCCTTAAACAACAGCTACAGGGTCATTACTGCTATTTGAATGCTGGGGCAGAAGAACTGTTCAGAAACAACCAGTTGGCCAGTGAGCTAATTAAGCTGGTGAACAATCACTAGCAGGGAGCTGCAGGCTCAGGGATCAGCTTTTCAAAAGACATTAGAAAACCCAGGAGAAGAAATGGGCTTTTGTGTTCCTCCTGCAGCAATGGAAAGCATGATTTTGCTCTCTAACAACATTCACTGGGACTGTACTGACCTGGTTCCTGCAAGGACTTGTAAAGACGAAGTCCCGGCTTCACAAGATTAGGAGTTCCACACAAGAGGCCCAGCCAGTTCCAGCCATCAGGCCGGGGAGGGAGAGCTGGTCTGAATCTCCCCACATTAACAAAATAGTGACATTTGTTACTGAGTGGAACAGACATGTAAAGAACACGCCCCAAAAGGGGAAAATCAAAGCTGGAGTTCCAAAAGCCTCTGAGCAGGAAACCATCTCAAGCGGGACCCCGTCCTTGGCTGTGCTTCCCACCACCCCCTTCCCCTGCTGCGGGTCTCTGCCGCCCCCCCAGGCACACCACAGGCACCCCAACACACACACACACAGCAAGTCACTGCCCTTCACCTTCAGCCGTTCTCCTCCTCTTTGAGGTCATTTCACAACAAACCTGTGATGCTGCCTGAGCAAATGGATCAGAAGGCAGCCCAGTAACAGAGAGCGCCAGTTCATTTGCAAAAGCTCTGTAAACATCTGAATTACGAGTTCAGACCATATACAGCAGATCATTATCTAATTAACAGTATCTAATTAAATTTCACCTATAACTGTTGACTGGATTCAGTTTCAATATTGATAGGATTTACATGTCTTGTTGAGAAATATGTCTACAGCACAAACTGATAACATCAGATTTTAGATTACAATGCAGTGGATTCACTAAAAGTAAGATCTATGCACTTATATATTCTGATTCTAAAAGTACTACATACGAAGCAGTATTTTATATAAAAGCAAGGATTACTACTTTCATAGCTCATTAAAGAAAAATCAAAGACTAGAGATGTACATCCCTTATGATCAAAGCTATGGACTCCTCAGCTAAAATGTCACTGAGAAAATCTTTGCTCTGTATTATTACAAGAGCTTACACGTACACTAAAAGTAAAGCCTTTCCACCTTCTTATACAAACTGGGTTACTGAGAAGTTTTCAAATATCAATTCATTCGGCCTCTGATTTGAAACCTTTACCCCTAATCCTTTCTTCCCCAGAATTCAAAGTGCTAATTTTATGTGGGTAGCACATAAAATTATATTAAAACGGCAAGTCTGCAAAACAAAGAGCTCAGGAGTTAGCGAATTTTAGGGTTTGTGTTCAGTGCTGACCTCTAACCCATGGGCTTGGTAACAGCCTTTGATTACACCATCACAAGCCATTTTTTTCCAATAATATTCCCGTTTCTCTGAGGGCACAGGCTGGACCTGCTCTGGTGTGAGCCACCACAGGCAAAACAAAGGAGGCCTCTCGCTGTAGCTCTGCTAGAAAAGCTGAAACAGGCAGGCAAGAGAGTCAGGGGATTAGGGAAGCAGTGAGGGTGATCTCTCAGCTGAATACCTACCTACTTTCTCCCAGAAAATTACAACATGAACCCAGGCAATCCTCAGCACTCACTAGTTCAGGCTTCCCGTTTTCTGAGTGAGTCTATAATTTGCAAAGACCCTATGCACTCAGATACAGGCAGGTACTCCACGGGGCTGCATTGAGAGCGATATAACACCTTGTTCTCTAAGCACTCAAGAAAAAAAAAAGAATTAAAAAATCAGGTTTGCGGTCTCAAAATTATTGTAAAGTCAAAGGTATTCCAAAGGTAGTCCAGTAAGTCCTTTGTCCTAAGCCCTTACATACCTTAAATGGCAGCCTATAAAACAGGGACAGCATCCTGCCCTCCATTTCAGAAACCTGTTAGGAAAGTGATTTCACTTTCATTTATAACAGGCTCACACAAGCACCATAAGAAAGCCTGCCAAAACGAACAACTTTGCCTTCAGGCAAGAGCTTGAATAGAATGGAGTCATGCGGTGAACAAGTAAGCGAGCCTTGTCTTTTTTGGCACACAAGTACGTTGAGAATAAAGGACAGAAGGGGGCAGGTGCTCGTGTCTTTCGCTCACCATAAAGCACACGTCCAAGAAAAAGGTGTCACAGACACCCTGATCCTGGCATCTCTTAGGGCCTTAAAAGAACACCATGAAAGTTGCACCGCATGTGCAATTTTCTTGATTAAAAAATAAACATAAGAAGCAATGAACTGCATCCGGCAGTGTCACATCGACACTTTCATGCCTGAGCCCTCCCATGGCAAACATTGTTTCCTCACACCTTGTCCTCAATGTGGTTTATTTCGCCCCTCAGGATTGCAACTGCAGACAGGTTCCTCTCCCGTACCTTCTCACAACCTTTGGGACACCACCTGTGAGTGTCCCTGGATGAGTCCTCTCTCCCGACTAAACAGAAAGGCTGGGAAAGATCAGAGGACATTGCTCTGGGAAGAATTTCTGGAGCTCCAGATACTCAGGCAGAACACAGGCCCCATGGCTGCCAGACACCTGGAAACCCAGGCCCAGGCCTGCTGTGACACATTCAGTTTGTAATCCCGGGCTCTGCACACCGTGACTTTCTCCCGGTTTAGTTCTCATCTCTCTCTTACTTTGAAACGTGCAAGTTTTCTCCTTTGTGCTGCCTGTGTGCCAGCATTATGAGGGAGAAATGGAGGGGTTCTCATTTTCAGTCCTGAAAAACACCTGGCCCGGTCGTGTCGCCGAGCAGTTTGTCTTTAAGATAAACCTTCACACCTGGGAGAGACCCTCTCCTTCGCACCATGAGCGGGGTCAGGGAGCAGCTGTGGGTGATTAACACTGAGCTACCACATGAGGTCTGGCCCTCCCCTCCCTCATGCTCCAGGACCAAATGGCCACTGAAGCTCCCTGGCCTATTCCTACCATTTCTGCCCAAGATTGTGGAAAGCATCACAGCTACGGGATCGCTCTGTCCACGTCGCCACCCGAAGGCCATTAAATCTAGTAAATCAACTTTCCTTTAAAACACCATGATAACTCCTACAGGTCATATTTACCAACAGATCATACTTCCAATGGCCATGACCAAAAGGATTGAGTTTATTAAATATGCCACTGTTACAGATGCTCTACAGACCTCACAGTAGTTCCTGTAACTCTTTCAATTTATCATCAGTTGGAAAGGACAGGAGATACAGGCACGTTTTCTCTCAAGGGCCTCATTACTGCCACAAATGTTGTGTTCCTCTGCTCAAGCATCCAGTGGTTCTTCTCACTTTCTCAGCTACATCATGGCACTAAGAAGTCATTTCTGCACAGTATAGGTGAGACGTACCAGTCCCACACAGAGTTTTTTCAGAGCAAGCTTAAAAAGCAATAAAATCTCCAGTTTATAAACAGTGATGAAGCTTTTCTTTTTTAATTTCTTCAATTTACTGGTGTTAAAATGCATGTTGTTCAAATGAACCCACCAAGTTATCCAAAGCAGCCTATTAGAATGGATCTTTCCTAATTAATCAGTTTCTACTGTCATCACTCTGTAAGAAACACTTTTTTCCCCCCATTAATAGAGAAGACCACTAAACAGCGTATAATAACACCCTGCCAGACCTCACTAGTTAAGAACTCTCCGTGCAAAAGGTTTGTGTCACAGCATCAGTTCCCCAGCGTGACCCACACATTGTTCCCCTCTTACATTTAAACGTTCCTCACCTCTCAGTTTCATGCTACACTTTTGACTCCTGCTTTTTCCTTTTAAATACATGAAGTGAATATATTTTACGTTAAAAAAAAAAGTATTTTAGATATATAAATGTATGCACGCATATGCATCACCAGTTAAAACGCTCAAGTATAAAAGTTGCCACAGAACTGCTTTGTATTAATAGCAGTAGATAAATAACGGACTAGAAATCCATGGAACTGTCTAAATGGATAAAGATACTTATGAACTTAGTCATTTATTCAGAACTCAAGAGAGAAACAGAAAGAAATGACACCTTACTTCAGAGGTACTAGAAAAGGGAGTATAAACCCAAACCGAAATTACCATGGGATTATCACCAAAAAAAAAATATAAAAAAAAATCTATTCCTTTGTCACTAAAAGCTTATAAAATTCTCTAGCTTAAGGAATATTAGGAATATAAGAAGGCATCAGACATCACCAATGAGCTAGTTGAAAACTTACTGCAAATGGAGGAGAAAGTATGACTTTCAGGATTTTCAGCTTACACTAGGAAAAAAATGCCCATTTTTGCTTTTTTGGAAGCCCCAGATCTAGTATTATGCTTGAGAGAACAGCTCAGCCACAGCCGCACCTGACCATCGGCCAGAAAAGGCTGCTTAATCACAGCTGTCAGAGAAAAGAGACACAGCGGGAACAAGGGAAGGCTGCTAGTAAAACAGGTCAGGGGAAGGGATAAGAAAAGAGTCGTACCTATTTAAAGATCTGTCTCTACAAGAACTATTATTAATAATTTCCCTCTATAAGATAACGCATAAATCTTTACAGAAGCAACTGCAGACCTAATAGGCAAAGAACATGAAGGAACCAGGGGTTGTAGGGAAAGGCAAGGTCTTTTAATAGAACAGCTGAAGAAAAAAAGAAAGTAGAAGGAAAATCTTTTGGATTTAGAGTCTCCCCAGTTTTACACATCAGACCCCGAGGAAGAGCATTCACCTCCCTGTAACGCCCTTGTACACGCAGAATGCAGGTTCCAGCCTCTATGCCTGACCATTGTAGTGTTGGGAAAACACCTCAGAAACAGAAGCACTAAGGACCAAACTACTATTCTTCCCATCCCTTCCCCCATCTCTGCTAATCGCAAGGGGAGCTGAAAGCGTTTGGCTTGATGTGAAGCAAAAAAAAATGGATAAATATTTTACATGACAGCCACAATTAATAGAAAGAAATTAATGAGCTTCCTTTTAGTGAAATTAGATCAACATGGAGATAAAAATGAAAATGCATAAAATAGATCCTAAGAGATTAACTAGAGAGGGAAGATAATCACACAGCACTAGAGTTTCTAAAAGTGAGAGCCACTGCTGTGCATTGGAATGAAGGGACAAAGACGAGCTGAGCTTCGCAGTGCCAGTCTATCCATCCTCTGCTGTGCAGGACTGGCGTCACAGTTGGAAGCCACGCTGAAGAACTGCTCCCACTTTCTTAAGATAGCATTTCCATTTTTTGCCTCAATGGAAGCACTTCTCCCAACTCCTACTCTCCCTGTGCTAATATGTACCTGCTGGAACAATAAGTCCTGCTATTTATCATTAACCATACGTGGCATTTCTAATCCTAAGCTTGTTTTATATGCCATTTATTTTGACTTAATGGGTCAGCCCACTGCATTATTTGTACCATCCAGTCCCTGAATTTTACTCATACTTTGTGAACTGCTCGGCTTTGTACCGTGTGCCACAATAGCAAAAGATCCACAGCTTTCTCTCCTGTCACCCCTGGAGCCCTGAGTGACATCTGTCACCACAAAGGCCTAGCAATCCACCGCAGCAACGAGACCTCCCCCACGCTACAACACGAACAACAGGTCCCCTTCCCCTTGACGCAAACATCACAGAGCTATAAACAACACTGTGCGTTCCTCAATAACAAGGTTAGGAGAACGCCCATCGAGACCCCGCTCGAGCGTCAGGCCCCGCACCGGGCCACGGAAGAGGCTCTCCGAGGACACGGTCCCACCCAGCACTGCAGCATTCTAAGCAGACGGGGAGGCGTACAGAGCCCCGGGATCGGGGCAGGGCCACGCTCGCCGCTTCCCGCACGCCAGGGGACACCCGGAGCCGCGGGGGCCGTGCGGGGCCGCGCCCGCGCCCTC